GAGAGAGAGAGAGAGAGAGAGAGAGAGAGAGAGAGAGAGAGAGAGAGAGAGAGATTGACCGAGGCAAGGACACGTACGACACCGTACCGTCAACACAGGGACGACGACGAGCAGGCAGTGGCCGGGGGCAGTAAATATGTCTTCCTATTTATCCGGATGTTCCCCATGGTTCGGTGCGTTGTTCATAGTCGTTTTGTTAGTTCCTCATATGTACTTTAGTTTCGCAGTTATTTATGTGTTTTTTTTCCGCCTTCCTAGGACTCGTGTAGTCCAAGGCGTCAGACGGTGCGTGTGGTAGCGGAGGTTCTTTGCGGTAGGGTTTTTATATCTTCGTTTTTGTGAGACATTTGTATACTAGTAGCACTTGCTCTGTTTTTTTTTCTTTTCTTGAGGATGACGTCAGTACATATGGAGAGTATGTAGTTTCTTATGTGGGTGGATAGGAGTCATAGGAGGAACAGTTGTTCAACGATACATTTGTACTTTCGGGGATCTTAGTGCTATATCGCATATTATACGACTCATGCAGCAGTTGTATTGGTTTTCCCTGCTCTTTGTATGATTGTGTTGTATGCGTCCACACTCACTGTGACTCACATGATCGCAGATGTACATTATTGTTTCATATTTCCTATGGATTGTAAGTCTTGTTTGTGTGTTTGGCAACGTGGTGTGTTTTAGTGCATGCCTATGTGACACCCGCGGCCTAGGTCGCGGGCATTTCGGCCGCTGTGGCCGAGAATCTCGGCTGCGGCCGCGGCCGATCAGGCCCACTCCGCGCCCTGGTTCTTCAATATATTTTTTTTACCCCTAAAAATTTGTAAAAACAAAACCAAAAAATAGAGGGGTGTAGGGCTTGAAAAAACCTACAATCCTATGTTTTTTATTTCGAAATCCGACTTCGTTTAAGATTTTTAGAAAATGAAACACAAAATTCGATTTAAACAAAATATTTTTAAAAAATAAAAAGAAAAGCAGCAATTTTTTTTTGGCATTTTTTATCATGAGGGATATGGTCCCTGAGTTGTGCTGTATTATTTTTTTTAATGATTTTCGTTTTTTTGTTCGGAAACTAGGTGTTTAAAAAAAAATGAAGATGCAAAAATTTAAAACAAATCAACAAAGAAAACGGGCCAGGCTGGGGTTGGTGTGTGTGTCTGTATCCTCTTGTGCTGTCTCTTATACACATCTAGATGTGTATA